CCTTGGAGATCTCTATTGGATTCCAAATGCAGATGTCAAGTAAGCAATTGAATATATGAGGCTGGAATTGAGGAGAGAGGTCTGGACTGAAGATGCACAGTGAGGAAGTGCTTAAAGCTACAAGGCTGCCTGAGAACACCAAGGGAGGGGGTGTAACGACAGAATAGAATTAAGGACCTTGCTCTGGACCACTCCAAAGATGTTAAGTTGTTCCTGAGAAGACACAGCCAGTGAGATCAAGGCAGTATGGTTTGCTGGAAGCCCATCTTCCTGGAAGAGACTTCATCCAGGAGGAGGTAAGAATAAACTTGTCAGATGTTGCTGATGGATCAAATAATGTCAGAACTGAGAACTGACCATTGGGTTTTGCAATAGGATGTCACTGGTGATAGTTTTTGATGAAGTGATGGGGCTAGCAAAGTTGTCTCTCGTCTGTATTACTGTGCTGATCTCTTAATGATCTCCTGGTTTTCTTCTTTGCCTCCACACGGTTTGTTCTCCAGACACCCCGCATGGTGACTTTTAAAAATACGTACATCGTGTGACCCCTCTGCTCAAAATGGCTTTCCACTTAATGCTAATAAAAGTCAGGACTTTACAATGTATTACCAAGGCTCTATACTGATCTAGCATTTAGATTTTAATGATTCCTCCTACTAATTTCTCATTCAGTTCTCATGACTAGCCTCCTGACATGCTTTGAAAATGCCTGGGACCATGTCACTGCTTCAGGGCCTTACTACAGTCTGTTTTGTGATGGGTCTGGCTCCAGGTGTCTGTACCTGACTGGCTCCTTCATCTCCTTCAGGTCTTTGCTGCTCCTCTCTTACCTTTCTGATGGAGCCTGCCCTGGCTATCTTGTTTGAAGTGGAAGCTCTTCCCAGCCTAGCATTTTTCGTCTCTCTTTTCCTACTCTCTTATTCCCCTGTAGGACTCGCCATCTTTTCACATCCCAACTAATATACTTATTTTCTGTTTTTATCAATTGCGTGTTGTCCTCCATCTGTTTTTTAAATTAACTTAATTTTTATTTTATATTGGAGTATAGTTGATTAACAATGTAGTTTCAGGTGTACAGCAAAGTGATTCAGTTATACATACATTGTCCTCCATTTGAATATCAATTCCATGAAGGCAGGAGTTTTTGTCTTGTTTACTGATCTATCCTAAGTGTTCAGAATAGTAGCTAACACATGGTAAATGATCGATAAATACTACCCGGGGTAACACATGTGAAATAAGTTATTCTTTTCAAAAGCTACTAACTGTTAGAATCCTTGCCAAGTAGGGAAGTACTGTTTTGTAGGATTTAGATGACATTAACTCAGCCTAATAATCAGCTTCTTGCCTCTCTGGTTATTTATTCAATTTTCCCTGATTTTCTATGCTTTGGGGAAGCTCCGTAAATGCTTGCTGTCTGCCTTGTCGCACACGCTGCGGCTGGCATCTGTGATTCATAGGCCTCCTCTAGATGGAGAGATATACAAGTACATCAGCAGTTGTAACAAAGTGTAACTGGGTGTGCTGTAAGGAGTAATTGGTGGGTTTTGTTGATCAACCTGGTGCAGACACATGCAGATGCGGAGTTGGCACCAAGGAGAGGCGTGTGGAATTAAAGGGCTGTAATGCTCACAGATCCTAGAGAGGAAGGCGTGCAGTGGGCCATGCAGGGGCCTCGTAGGAGGAGGGCACAGGGTGTGAGCTTAACCAGGCAGGTGGGGAGCCAGCAGAGAGAACGAGGACCCGTGAGCAAGTGCCTTTTGGGGGGTCTGGTGTGGACACAAGCAAAAGCTTGAGAAGCTGTCGCTGGTGTGTTTGAATGTCACTAGGTCAGTCAGAGGAGGGCACAAAGGGGAACTTGGCCAGGCGCTTACAGCCTGTTCATGGGGATGCTGAGGCATCCAGAAAATACCATGTTTTAAAAATGTACAATACGCGGGGTAACATAAGAAGTAAATGCACAGGGCTTTGCATCCAGGTAGGAAAGGTATCCTGGCAGTCTGTAAATAGCCTGCTTTCGATTGAACACTCTTTCCCAGGGGCGTTGCTGTCCTAAAGGCACAAATCTAGGCTTGCAAAGCCTATGTAAATATACAGGGTTGGTGTCTGTCTTGTTTCTTCTATCTCTGTGAATATCAGATGTCCTACTACCTTTTTTTTTTCTTTGCGGTATGCGGGCCTCTCACTGTGTTGTGGCCTCTCCCATTGCGGACAGGCTCCGGACGCGCAGGCTCAGTGGCCATGGCTCACGGGCCCTGCCGCTCCGCGGCATGTGGGATCTTCCCGGACCGGGGCACGAACCCGTGTCCCCTGCATCGGCAGGGGGACTCCCAAGCGGACTCCCAACCACTGCGCCACCAGGGAAGCCCCGGATGTCCTACTTCTAACCAGAGCTAAAGAACTACAGAAATAGCCCTGGGCTGGCTCCTGCCCCCGCTGCAGCTTGCACTGATCCTCTAATGTTTTTAATCAGTCTGGATATAAACACTTTCTGTAGGGAAAATGAGTAGTGATGAGAAGTAATCTCGCTGCTCCTTTATTCTGAAAAATTCAATGACTGGTTTACAGATATTGCTGATTCATCATGATATCCTGGTGTGGAAGATGTGGATTAAGTTTCAGCCTTAAAGGTTATGGGATCCCTCAAGGCTTGGAGTATAGTAATGAAAAATTGAGAACCTACAAAAAGGATTCCAGAATCTGCATAGTGAATCAACTATTTTATCATCAGGCCTTGGTTCTGATATGAATTTAGGATTATGTAGATAGGACTGTGCCATGTGCTTTTTACCAGAGCCTTAGAACTTTCTCTACTTTATATTTCATATATAACTTCTTTTAGTGTCTTTCTCTTCAGTTTAAAGCAAATTCTCTTTAGTTCTTCTGAGGTCCTATATAATTTCTGGGCCTTTTCCCCTCCAGTCTGGAGTGGCTTTACTAATAAGGTTTCCTAAACACAACCAGGAGCGATTACCGGACTTGATAACCCCAAACAAAGGTTTGTAAGTTTCCTCTGAAGACTAAGATGTCCCAGTCCTCACCTGTGTATTAGGAGTAATACATGCTTCCTAGAGTGCATGGCCTTTCTCTGCCTCAAATCTAATGCTCAGAGTTCTAGAAAGATCGCCAAAGAAAATTTTAGATCCTCTAGATGTGTGGTTTACTTGTCTTAAAATATTCTAGCTTTGACCTGAAGCATCTTATTCAAAATAAAAATTCCTATACTCTGAAAAGGTCAAAAATAGGAAACTCATTCCAAATTTCTTAATTTTTCTGTGTAGTTTACTTTTTTATGTTTTTATGGAATCCCATTCTGATTTATATATTCCTGTAGTATGGCAATTAATCTCTTTCTTCCTTAGGCTGACTAGTTCTTTCTTGCAGTGTCTTCACTTATTCATTCATCAAACATTTGAGGTCTTGTACATGTTAGGCACTGTGCAGAGGACCAGAGCCACAGCCTGTGGAGCAGAGAAGCACAGCCTTTGGCTTTATGGAGCTTAAGCCACTTACTGTTCCTCTAGAGACTGAACAGGTTATACCGGTGCTTGGGTGATATGTTACTCTTCTAAAATCATGCCTTCTTCAGACTAAATGTTATCTGAGCTTTTAAAATGTACTGTTTTAAAACTAAAAGCCAGGGGCTTCCCTAGTGGCGCAGTGGTTGAGAGTCCGCCTGCCGATGCAGGGGACACGGGTTTGTGCCCCGGTCCAGGAAGGTCCCACATGCCGCGGAGCGGCAGGGCCCGTGAGCCATGGCCGCTGAGCCTGCGCGTCCGGAGCCTGTGCTCCGCGGCGGGAGAGGCCACAACAGTGAGAGGCCCGTGTACCGCAAAAAAAAAAAAAAACTAAACTAAAACTAAAAGCCAAATGCTTCCTATCTGTAAATAATTTCTATTTTATTCCAGGTAGAGTGATTATAGCTGTCACTTTTTATTGTATGTAAGGTTTTCTTATAATAATTTAATTAAGCTCTTCTGTCTTTCCTTTTTCATGATCAGTATACCAGCTTTGACTCTGCTGATGCATCACAAGATCAGGCTGACCAGCAGAAGGAAAGAGACCAGGCAGTGCCTCTTTTTCATTCTCCTTAAGACCTTCGGCCACCTGCCTTATGCAGGAGGAGACTGTTACTCTGCCCCCTTCCACTGCCCTGCAGCCATTCTTTAACCATTGTCTCATATGTTAGGAAAGCATCACAGTAATTTTATATACAAATATCATGGAAATGTATTTTCAACAACAGGGGAACATTTAAATAAACTATACTGTAGTCATAGGAAATGCTTCGCTTAAGGTGTTAAATGAAAAGAAAGAACATACCAAATGACATGTAACAATAATAAAAATAGTAATATAAATGTAATATACTGAAAATAATACAATAGATGAGTAGCTAACACTTTTTAAACAATCACTGTGTTGTGAACATGTTTTAAATGCTTTGCACTTATTGACCCAATTAGTTACCTCATTTAATCCCCCCAACAACCCTCTCAATTGGTAATTATTATCCAGTTTTTACATGTAAACATAAAAATGAGGTACAGAGAGTTTAGGCAACTTACTAGGTTTGGTGAAAAGCCAGTATAGGTCCTTAAGATACCTAGGTTCTAGTGGGGGCTCACTCACTGTTGGGTAATCAAAGTGCCCACAGGGATGCTGTGAGGAGTGGAGGGGAGAGGCACCAATTGTGAAATCAGGAAGACTTCCACATGGAAGGGACATGGAACAGAGTTTTAAAGGACGAGTTGGCTAGTTTTCCAGGTGAATAGGCAGATGGGAAAACCTATTGAAACCTGACTGCCACTCACCAATCTTGTGACTTAATTCCTTCATCTGAACAACACAAATGATGTCTGCCATTTCTTCATGGCTTATCTAATAAAATAGGGTACTGAAAGCTCTATGGAAGTGTTTGATGTTATTTAATTATTTTATTTATTTATTTTTTAAAAGTCCTTAAATATGTGACTGCTGGTTTTCCTTTGCTTTCTTAGGTAGATATGATTGTGACCCTGGGAGGACTTGCTGGACGTTTTGACCAGATTATGGCGTCAGTGAGCACTTTGTTCCAAGCAACTCGAATCACTCCTTTGCCAATTATAATAATCCAAGAGGAATCTCTCATCTACCTGCTCCAACCGGTAAGTGAGGATTAAATACAGTGTCAGCGCTTTGCTTCCACAAAACCTGTAACATTTTTGTACACAAGGAGAAAACATGTGCCCCATTTATGTATTTGAACTGTGAGTGAAGTTGAGGTGTTTGATTACTTGTGGCTAAATGGGAAACAGGTGGAGGAGAAGCCTCATTGTACTCAGAAAAACAAAACAAAACAAAAACAAAAGTTTTTAAATTAAATTGACACTAAGAATTAAATTTAGCATTTTTGCATTTTGAGCAGCTGAATGTGAGTGCCACTTGAGATAAATCTCAGCAGAGAAAGCACAAAGCTTGGCAAACATTACAAATGGAATTCTTGTATATTTTCAGTGTTGTTGTTATAATTGGAAACTGTATTTGATTTTGTTAAGCAGTTAGTCTTGAGCTTTTACTGTTCATAAGTTGCTTGGTTGTTAATTTCACGCTCATGATGTCATTCATTTCCAATGATAAACATCAAGGAAATTTTCTATCAGTGTAGTGCTTAGAACAGAATTCTTATTATATAAACATGTTTTATGAGGTTGATGAGTGTATTTCAGTTTGAAAAATGATTGTTTGGCAACCTTTTTTTTTTCTTTTTGCGGTACGCGGGCCTCTCACTGTTGTGGTCTCTCCCGTTGCGGAGCACAGGCTCCGGACGCACAGGCGCAGCGGCCATGGCTCACGGGCCCAGCCGATCCGCGGCATGTGGGATCCTCCCGGACCGGGGCACGAACCCGTGTCTCCTGCATCGGCAGGCGGACTCTCAACCACTGTGCCACCAGGGAAGCCCATGTTTGGCAACATTTTTTGAAGACAGTGGACAGTTTTTTGTTTTTTTTCTTTTTTGCCTGTCACTGTAATGTGCTACTTACAGCTTTGCTTTCAGTCCATCTGCTGTCCATCATCTGTAACTCGTCATCACCTGGAAACTGTTGTTTGGTTAATATGGCATGCGTGCTTACCAGTTGTGCATTTTTTTCTGGCTCTTTGCATTGCGTGGCTTTGTTGCTTTCTGGAATACTTCCTGTGAGGTGCGAAAACGAAGCTGAAGAATTCGGTTTTCAGACTCCATAGTGTCCATTTATTTGGTCAACAAAGAGTTACGGAGTGCCTGCTACCTACCTGTTGCACTGCTGGGCAATTGAAGATTAAACAGAAATAGTAACGTGTTCTTTACTCTCTAGTATATGTCTAGTGAAGAAGACATTTATAAAACACAGACATAAAGCAAGGTCAAAAGGTTAGTACATAAAGATGATGAAAGATTATATAATCTGGTCATGGGTGTGTAAGGAAATGCTTCACAGAGGCACTCACATTTTATTTACTTAATTAATTCAACAAATTTTTTTTTTTTTTTTTTTTTTTGGCTGCTGTACGGCTTGTGGGATCCTAGTTTCCTGAGCAGGGATTGAACCCCGGCCCTCGGCAGTGAAAGCCTGGAGTCCTAACTACTGGACCACCAGGGAATTCCCAACAAATATTTCTTGAGTACCTGCTATATGTCAGGTACTTTTCTAGGGACACAGCAGCAAGCAACAGCGACAAAAAAAAAAAAAAAAAACCCTTCCTTTCATGGAACGTATATTGTGTTGAGCTTACATTTCAGCAGAATCTCGCAGGATGAGTGGATGTCTGCTATTGAAGATGATGGGAAAGTCATTCCAGTTAGAAGGAGCCGCTAAAGAAGGATAGAGCTGAAGGGCATGTTATGGCATCTACAGGTAATTCTGAGCAGCCATATGGAAAATATTGAAAGGTCAGACTCAGAAGACTACTTTGGATCCTACCTCTGAAGAACCTTGAACTCTACATACTACAGTGTGAACTTGTTTGCCATAAGCTATGGGAAGTCATTAGAAGATTTCAGTTAGCAGTCTGACATGCACAGATATGCTTCTTAGATTTCTAATTAGATGTTTATTAAATACCTGTACTTTCCCAATAGGTTCTGAAGCGTGAAACTCTACCGTTGTGAAGCGTTGAGCTTTATTGTTTTATAATGATTTTATGATGCTGCGAATGCTAAAATAGTCAACTGCAACTTGTCTCTATGTAAATACTCTGGCTAAGAGATAACTAGACGGGGTACAATGGTTTTTGCAAAATAAAATTGGAAGATTAACTGATAGCAAAAACCACATCTTCTTTGAATAATTGTAGACTTCCTAAAATGTATTCAGCTTGGGATTTCTTGGAATTCCTCCATCTGTAGATTGCTGTCTGTCCTCAGTTTGTAAAACTCTCAACCATATGTTTTCAAATATTGTCTCATCCCCCATTTTCTTTCTCCCTTCTTCTGCAACACCAATTAAGCATATATGTGATCCTCTAATTGTATCATATATATCTCAGAACTTGTCTCTTGTATTTTCTGTCTTAATCTCTCTGGGCTGCATTCTGAAGTTCCTTATCGCCTCTGCAATCCACTTCACTCTTCTGCTTTAGCTGTTCTATTTTGCTACTAAACTCATCCTTTCAGTAGCAAAGGCTATTCCTGCCATGATTCATCTCTCTTACAAGCTTTCCCTTTACTCACATTTTAAAAACTCTTAAAACATAATTGTCCTACTTCCTTTATAGTCTAGAAAAATTCTGATATCTGCAGTCTTTATAGATCATCTATCTTTTATGTTCTCTTTTGCTTTTCTATTTTGTAACCTTGATTCATTTCGTATTTTGTGATTTTTAGCTATGACCTCATATTTCTGGGAACTTTACCTGTGGGAATTACTTATAGAAGGAAATAAAAGTGAGTCCAAGGAGTATTTAGAGTGGACGTCCAACCCAGTTATTTATAGGCACTAATAACTTAGGACCTTTTGTTTGAGACTTTTTTGGACCATCTCGGTGGTATGTATTTTGAAGCTAATTCTGCTGGGAGTTTGACTTCCGATTACAGATGCCCAAGGAAGACTTGTTCCTCTTCTTAACCAAGGTTTGGCTGGACAGTTTTCCTAGCATTCACGTGGGAGTATCCTTTGTATTCGTCTTTTCTCTGAGAATCTCCGCTGAAGTGGTGCAGTCTCCTTCTACACTCCTACGTTGCTCAGGCTTGCTCTCCTAATGACCTTCCATACTTGGAGGCCTAAGCAACTGAAACTCAAGTTCATCTGATTTGGTAAAAATCAGATGCCTGTAAGGTGAAAGGTAGATTGGTGTTCTTTTTCAATCAAAACTTAGTTTTTGGCTTTTTGAATATTCTTTGAAAAAAAGAAAAAGATGTTAGATGCATTTTGAAAGATTCCCTTTAATTTTTTTCTAGCTTTTTTTTTTTATTGTTGTCGGTTGGCCAGGGTACTAATCTACCCTGTGTATGTTGCAGTGATAATTAACCCCCAAATCTCAGAGGCTTAACTGAGATTAAGCTTAATTTTTTTTCTCATTCATGGAAAGTCTGGTGTGGTTTGGGCAGTATCCTCCATTTTATATCCAAGCCAATTGGGAACATGTTGAGTCAGCAGGGGAAAAAAGGTTACTGTAAAAAGTGGCACTGCATGTTTTTAAAGGCCAGGCCTGGCTGTGGCTTGTGTCACCTTTGGTGGGAACACAGTTACACTGCCCCAGCTCAGTATGAGGTGGTCGAAGAGAGGAAGGCTGTGGGCCGGAAAGATGACTGAGCACAGACCATTGTCTCTGTCAAAGACAGAGATTATGTTCTGTAACATAATCATCTTTTTTTTTTCCATTTATGATATGTCAGACTTTAATCGTTGAAGTAGAATCCCCAGTTCCCCAAACATAGTAATCATGGTAAGTGTGCCTGCATACACCATGTCCTCTAGAATCTCTCTCTGGTCATTTTGATTTTGTCTTATTGAAACAACTAGAAAATTACCTTTACCCTATCAAGTAAGTGTTACATAGTGTGAGGCAGAAAGTTCACACAAGACCATACCCTCTCCACTGCATGAGAGGAGTAAGAATGTTTAGCACAGACTTTCCTCTGGGGGCTCAGTAGGGTTGGCTCTGCTCGTCTTTCCCAGGGGTCACATCCCAGGTCTCTGCTTCTCAGTCACTTTTAGTGAGAGAGTAGTTAGCACCCAGAGCAACTGCAAAAGCCAAAAGGAGTATGTTTGAGGCTTAAGATACGAATCAGTCTTACACACTCTACCATATTTTTAAGCAGTTCTAATTATACACTTACGAAATGTGATCAATTAAAAGCTGATTATTGCACAGAGCGGCCTATATCCTAGAAATGGAACACGCAGCGTTGGAGCTGAAATGACTCTGTAAGATGTATTTTCATTCATCTCTGTGTTGTGGCATATGTAGTAAAGTACGCATCTGTATTAGGTAGTGTGCATATTCAGGACAGGTGTCTACAGGATACTGTTCCTTGTTAATGGGGCTTATTGTAGTCACAATCAGGATGGACATACCATAAACGTAAATTGAAACCATTTTCAAATATTTTGGTGCTGGACTAAGGAAATCAATCTGGTTTGCTTCAGTGACAGATAAAGAATGCTTTCAAAATGTTTTAAATGTACTTCTTAATTTGAAAGTCATCAAATAGCTATTCTTGAGAAAGGAGGTAATTGGGGGATTTGTACAAGAAGCATATCATTTCAGCTTCATAACAGTCCTGGGAGGCAAGCAGGACAGATCATAAGAATCACACAGCAGTATTTTGACTCAGCAGTCTTTCCACTGCACTACCTTTCCTTCTTCATGGGATTAATGGGCTGAGATGGAAATGACAAACTCTTAAAACAAGTCACAGTCTGCAGGCTGGTCATTATCCATAGTGTATGCATATGTGTATACACACACACACACACACACACACACACGCACGCACATAAATTCTCTACAATATTCTTTTCAAATAAGATTGATCTTGGATGCACCTTAAGGGTATATCCTACCTTGTGGCTTTACCCTGAAATTAAACAAAAATAACACTCTGCATTTTCCTCAACTATAAAAAAATCTACGTACAACAAGAATCTTCGTTATTTAAACAGATTAAATGAGATTGCCATCAAAC